AGAGCGCAGGGAGAGTATAAAGCCACAGAAGGGCTGGGACAGGGAAAAGGCACATTAATCTGCCAAATCCTCCTCAGATACTTCGGATGTAACAGATTCTTGCATAATCTATTATTATGTAAGAATATTACAGAAAGTATAGTTTCCCAGAAGTCCCAATTGTCCATTTTCTTCATCCTATTCATGTTCCCGCTTGCGGTTCTGGAAGTCCTTGTGAATTAGCATGGAGTTCACAACAGTTGCACAGGAAGTCTGAGGAACACCTTGCAATGTTAAACAATTTGTATTACTCTTAAATATGCATATAGGTAGCATGCAGCATGAGAACTCTAATACCTGTTCTTTACTAGAATCAACCAGAAGGACATTGAACCCAGGGTTGCAAACCATTTTAATTTTTATAAAAACATTTAATTAAATTTCAAAAATTAAAAAGTCTCAGGTATATTTAAACAATTTTAGATATTTGATATTTATCAATTACGCTTTTAAAATTTGAATAGATAATTTTGAAACTTTTAGAAGAAAAACAACTTTTTAAAAAATTATTTTATTGGGGTCATATTGGCTTACAACACTGTGTAAATTTCAGTGTTCACCGACAGTCCAGTTTTTATCTGTCACCATATCTATATATATATGTCCCTTTCCCCTTTCCCCCTCTCCCTACCCTCTTCTCCTCTGGGAACTACTAATCTGTTCTCCTTATCTATGTGTTTTTATCTTCCACATGAGTGAAATCATATGGTGTTTGCCTTTTTCTGTGTGACATTTTACTTAGCATAACATCCTCAAGGTCCATCCATGTTGTCGCAAATGGCACAATTTTGTCTTTTTTATGGCTGAGTAGTATTCTACTGTGTATATATACCACATCTTCTTCATCCATTCATGGGCACTTGGGTTGCTTCCATGTCTTGGCTATTGTGAATAATGCTGCAATGAACATAGGGGTGGACAAATCTTTTTGAATTAGTGATTTCATGTTCTTCGGATCAACATGCAGGAGTGAAATAGCTGGATCATATGGCATTTCTATTTTTAATTTTTTGAGAAATCTCCATACTGTTTTCCCATAGTGGCTGCACAAGCTTGCAGTTCCGCTAGCTGCAAACGATGGTTCCCTTTTCTCTATATCCTCTCCAACGCTAGTTAATTGTACTTGTCTTGTAATTGTCTTGTTAATTAAAGCCATTCTAACGGGTGTGAGGTGATATCTCACTGTAGTTTTGATTTGCATTTCCCTAATAATTAGTGATGTTGAACATCTTTTCATGAGCCTGTTGGCCATCTGTGTATCTTCTTTGGAAAAATGTCTGTTCATATCCTCTGCCCATTTTTTGATTGGGTTGTTTGTTTTTTTGTTGTTGAGTTGTACGAGTTCTTTATATACTTTGGAAATTAACCCCTTGTTGGATATATGATTTGCAAATATTTTTTCCCAGTTGGTCGGTTGTCTTCATTTTGTTGATGGTTTCCTTTGCCTTATAGAAGCTTTTTAATCTGATATAGCCTCATTTGTTTATTTTTTCTTTTGTTTCCCTGGCCAGAGCAGACATGGTATTTGAAAAGATACTGCTAAAACCGATGTCAAAGAGTGTACCGGCTATATTTTCTTTTAGGAGTTTTATGGTTTCAAGTCTTACATTCAAATCTTTAATCCACTTTTTTTTTTTTAAGATTGGCACCTGAGCTAACAACTGCTGCCCATCTTTTTTTTCCTGCTTTTTCTCCCCAAATCCCCCGAGTACATAGTTGTACATTTTTTTAGTTGTGGGTCCTTCTAGTTGTCACATGTGCAATGCTGCCTCAGCATGGCCTGATGAGCAGTGCCATGTCTGTGCCCAGGATTCAAATCAGTGAAACCCCAGGCCACCAAAGTGGAGTGCGCGAACTTAACCACTCAGCCACGGGGTGGGCCCCCTTTAATCCATTTTGAGTTAATTTTTGTGTATAGTGTAAGATATTGGTCTCCTTTCGTTCTTTTGCATGTGGCTGTCCAGTTTTCCCAACATCATTTATTGAAGAGACTTTCCGTTCTCCGTTATATGTTCTCGGCTCCTTTGTAGAAGATCAGGTGTCCATACATGTATGGTTTTATTTCTGGGCTTTCAATTCTGTTCCACTGATCTATGTGTCTATTTTTCTGCCAGTACTAAGCTGTTTTGATTACTATAGCTTGTAGTATATTTTGAAGTCAGGGATTGTGATGCCTCCAGCTTTGTTCTTTTTTCTCAGGATTTTTTTGGCTACTAGGGGCCTTTTGTTGTTCCATATAAATTTTAGGATTCTTTGTGTTATTTCCATGAAGAATGTCACTGGGATTCTGAGCAGTGTGTAGGTCCACTCCCGGGATCCGAACCCACAAACCCCAGGCTGCCGAAGCAGAGCACACCAACTTAACCACTACACCATGGGCCAGCCCCTAAAAACAATAATTTTTGATTTTGTCATTTTGAAGATTTTTCTGTTGAAGTAGGAGAACAGAACACATTTAACATTTCTTTAGTTTGATTTGCCACTTTTAAATATGCAGACATATATGATCTCCATTTCTACACTTGCTTCAGGCCGCACAAGTGTTAGTGAAGGTGTTGAGAGGCATGTAGTGGGCATTCGAGAAACCATTATTGAAGAATGAATGAATGAATGAATTTGTTAACTCCAGTCTCACAGTCTGCCTACCTCAAGACCTACCGTTTTAGTTCTTGCCCTCCTCCTTGGGAAATCACTGGTATGTATACCCAACCCAAGCTGTGCAGTTGCCCTTTCTCAGGCCTCGCATAAAACACTTCTCTGCTAATGGTGACAGTACTAGGGGTTTCCTACGTGCAAGGCACCGTTGCATGTGTTTAGTTTCCTCAGTCACACCTTACAACAGTCTTCATCCCTGCGATGAGGAAGCTAGAGCACAGAGAACCTGGGCAGCACGCCCAATGTCACCAGGTTGGTGATGAGGAGAGAAAAGGTTCCAACTCAGCTGTCTGGCCCCAGAGCCCATACTCTTCCCAAGGGCTCTCATCGTTTCTGTGCCCAGGACCCTTCCTCTTGTGGACCCCTTGCAAAATAATGTCTTAAGTTTGTAAAACATAATACAAAGGATTACAAAGGAAACCAATTGTATTGAAATACACTTACCAAACATTTAAAAAAAATTGTGATGTGGGAATATATGTACTTCTCCATTAACACATACCTGTCATAATTTCAAATTAATCATGAGTATAAATGATATTTCAGAGTACCTGCAAGAACTGTAATGTGATACAAAAATAACTGATTTCTATTGGTGCAACACCACAGGTACTGTGCCTTCGGCCAGGCTTTGTAAATTTTTAAATTCGAGATTGAAGGAAGTGCTAGCTGTCCATTAGAGGTTAGTGAAAATAAAAGATGTAATTTTCCCCATCCAAGTTCACAGACCTCTGAATTTTATCTGTGCCCCTTGGGCATCTGTGGACCCCAAGATCACAACCCCTGTACCAAGTTTCTTCGCTGCCATTCATGCATTCATGCTAAGATAAATGTCTTGTTTTGAGATATATAATCAATGCTTAAAATCGTTTTAGCTCTGGGAATTTGCTTTTACTCCAAGAAGAGCTATTTGGACTTTGATTATTTCTTCTTTTGAATCTTTCTATTAGATCTTGTCACTTTATCCTAAGCAAAAACGCTATCTATATAATTTCTGTCCCTCATCATCTTCATCCAGATGGCACATTTTTAAGGTACACTGCTTTCTATGTTCCTCTCCTTGGGCCCTTCACCACTGAATTAAACAGATTGTGACTACTGATAAATAAATGTTTCTCATACAGTACTTAATAATAGTTAATACTCATGGGTTGCTTCCTGCACTGGAGATGTTATGCTTAGCACATTAAACATTTTATTTAGCCTCTTATCAATTCTATATGGTAAGAAGTATTGTTACTATCCTAATGTTAAAGAAACAGAAGCTGAGAGAGTTCAAGTAACTGAGCCAAGTATTAATGGCAGCATTTGAGTGTTTACCACAGGCCAGTGTTCTAGCTTCACCTCCATTAACTCCTTCCATCCTCACAGTAACTCTTTGAGGGGACCCCTGTTTTATAGATGGGGAAGCTGAGGCACGAAGCATAAGTAATGTGTTCAGGGTCTCTTAGCGAGCATGCGGCAGAGCTGGGCTTAAACCCAGACAGGCCAGAATCACTGTGCACATATCTTCCCACCACAAACACCGCCACATTTAAAGAACAGAGAAAGCAGGGATGGAACCCAGGTCTGCTTATTCCAAGGCCACCTTCACATTTGGCCAAGTTATGACTAACTGAGGAGCTACTCGTAATGGAGCTACTCATGCCTGTGAATGAATAACAAGATGTGTTGACTCAGCAGCCTAGAGTGAGACCGCCAATTCAGTGGTTTGAGAGCTGAATCGGAAACCACATTCGATCTCATCTACGTGAATGATTGCCAAGAAACTGACAATTTAAACTTTAAATAATTTAAACTTTGTAACATCGACAAAAGTTACGAAGAGCAGAACGACAGCCCATGGTAGCCACTTTTTCCAGGGAGGCCAGACTAACTAAAAAGAAATTTTTTTAAGAGCATGTAATAAAAAACTATTATGTAAACAAGTGTTCTGTATTTTTAAGTTCTGTTGGACAGAGATAGCTGCCACATGCCACCAAGAGGAAAATGTTCTTTGGGCTGCAAGTACAACTATGATCAAAGCAAAATCACCCCAAAAAGTAACATTACCCTGAAGTTTATGACTTCGTGCTGAAGGCCAGGTTCCGCCTGGGAGCCTACCGGCTCCCTATCCCTAGCATTCACCTTACCCCTTGGGAAGGAAAGTGCTATTAAAATTAGTATACAAATTTATCTGATTATTTCATAAACTCAACTTTTGTCAACTAACATTCAAGTATTTTTCCTCCAAATAAAAGGAAGCAACATCAGGGGATGGATGTTCTTTCCTTCTGGACTTTTTAATAGTGGTCAGTATTACTTACCAAATAATTCCACTCATGTGTCAATCCATTTCTTCCTCCACAAAATCTGCCCCTTCTTCTTCTGGGTTTCCATTATAATAAAACATCCCTGCATAAAGCATTGGTTTTCATTAGGATGTTTTTCAGTTACATGTCACTGCACTAAACAAGGTTTCCAATGCACATGCGTGTAAGTTGTGAACATATATGCCTACTGGGTCCATCCCCCTCAAGCAATTTCCAACTTTCATTGTCACTCTCATTAAATTATTCTCTATCGCTTATCAATTCAATTAAATCCAGTTCCACAAGCATTCACTGGCTGGCGAAGACAAGTGTGTACCTGACCTGCCCCGTGTACTTCTCCCATTCTGCGTCCTACTCTCCCATCCAGCCTGACTCCCTTGCTGTTCTTTAACATACCAAACACACTCCTGCTTCAGCCTGGTACTTAGCTGCTCTCTCATCTAAAACACCCTACCTCCCGTTTCTATGACTTGTTCCCTCCTCTTATTCAGGTTTCCTCCTCAGTAGGAAGCCTTCCTTGCCCACTCTCTAAAGAGCACCCCCCCTCCCGGTTATTCTCCATCTCCTTTCCCTTCCTTCATGGCACATATTACCACCTGGCACGTAGAGCTATTTCTGCATCGGCCGATTGCTGTCTTCTCCCCACTAGAACATAAGCTCCAGAAGAGGGGACATGGTTTTTTCCCTGCTGTATCCCCGGCACGCAGAGCAGGGCTGGGCACATGACAGGCACTCTGAGTGCTTCCTGAATGAGTTTTCTGTCTTGCGAGGCATGTATAGATAATGCGCCATCCCGAACAGCCTTCACAGCCTAGGGAGGAATGGAGAAGTTATACAAATAACTAAGATAAGGCCTCACAGCATTACAGATGCTACAACAGGACAAAGTGCTCTGGGAATAGTTTCCTGGAGGGACTGGCACTGCAACTGGGTTTTGCAGGATGGATAGAACAATGAAAGGCTGCCATGGAAGCAGAGGGCATTCCAGTTAGGGGAAGGGCTACGCCCAAGCAGGAGGGAGCCAAGGGACAGGTGTGTCCCAGTAACCCAGGAAATGAGGTGGGGGGGGGGGGGGGGGAGAGGCAACAAGTGGAAGACAGGGAGGAGATGTTCGAGCCGCAGGCTGGAGGGATCCGAACGTCCGTCCTTGGCAGGGCGGCCGTGGATCTTAACCCCACAGAGGAGGGCACGGCCGAGGCTGGCACATCACGGAGCCACGCAGACCTGCAGAAGGCCTCCGAGAGATCCTACTCCCACCGTGGGCGCAGCCACCGCTTAACGACCCGCAGGGTGACGGGGCCTCAAGGAAAGACATGGACAGGAGAGACGGCCACAGGGCAGGGGCGGGGTCAGGAGAGTCCTGCGGCGTGGGCGTCGCCATGCAGGCTGGAACACGGATTCCTCTGCCCAGCGAGGGCACTGCGGGGCGGCTCCCGGACCACGGCGTGTCCCCAGGAGCACCGGAACCTGCGGACATCGTGGGAGCAGAGCCGGAGCAGAGGGTGCCGGCAGGAGCAGCCGGGAGGGCCGCGACCTCCCAGGCCCTCCGAGCCCGCCGTCCACTGAGGCCACAGGCCCGCTCGCACTACCAACGAAAGGTGTTCTGAAGCCCTTGAGAAGCCAGGACGGAGCGCTAACCCGAGGCTAATTTCTGGAATCAGTGCCGCGCGGGGCACCAACACTTTTCCGCAAAACACCTGCGGGAAGCGAGAAACCAACGAGGCACGCGGAGGCTTTCCCAACCTGCCACCGAAGAGGCGAGGACCATACTGGACACGGCAGAGACCGGACTGAGATTCTTCCCAACGCCCAAGGCGCGGGGACCTCGGGCACGGTCACTGTCGTCGTGCCCTCGCGCATCCCTGTCTTCGGCCACCAGCCAGCCGGGAGGAGGAGGTGGGCAGCGGCCACTTCCTGCCTCGCACTCGCAAGCTTCCCCGGAAGCGCGCAGGGTCGCTGAGGTGAGAGGGCGGTGGCCTCGGGACGGCGAGGACCCTGACGTGACTGGCCGCGTCGTTCCACACTTCCCGTCGCCCACCAGGGGGCCGCTCCCGGCCGCCGCGAACGTGCAGCGGCGCCCACCGCGGCCTGCTCGTGCGCGGCGCGCGGGCGGCTGGGAACGCGCCTCGCCCCGCCCCCTGCGCCGCGGGCGGCCAATCCGGTCGCCGCCCGGGGCCGCGCGCCCCGGCGGCGAAAGGGGCTCTTACGTCACTGCGGGTGGGCAGGTCCACTTTCGGCGCCCGGCCGCCCGTGGGAGTGGTGCCGGGTGGCCCACGCTTGGGGGGCTTTTCGCACGGGGTGGGAGCAGACGTGAACCATCCCCGGGGCCCCTCACGGACGTCGGTGTCAGAATTTCCCTCCTTGCGCCCGCCCTGCCTCAAATGTCAGGGTTCGCCCACTCTTCTCCTGTCTCACCGACCTAACCTTTCGGGGGCTCCGGAGGGGAAATTCATCGTTTCTGCCGGACCTCCCTAGAGCGTGCCCTGAACCCAGCCCTTTAGTGGATGGTGAAAAATACATTCATTGAAGGCCCCAGACGGCTTCCTTCTGCCCAATAACCTCAATTTATTCTCCACCCCCCCCCCTTAGTAAATAGAAAACAAGTGAAAATAATGTTAACTTCCCTGCTGCACATAAAATTGCTCATTCACCGCCTGGTGAAATGAATTTGATGTAGGCAATAAGATTAAAATAGGAATAAGAAGGGCCAGCCCGTGGCCGAGTGGTTAAAGACCTGCATGCTCCACTTAGGTTCGGATCCTACGTAGGGACCTACTCCACTCCTCAGCCATGCAGTGGAGGCATCCCACATGCAAAGTAGAGGAACACTGGCACACATGTTAGCTCAGGGCAAATCTTCCTCACACCCACAAAAAAAATAGGAGTAAGAAATTGGTTGAAATCACATGGTAAACTGTAGAGTTCTACAAATGTAAAGTATTAATCTATAACCATAGAGGAAGGAACATCTTATAGGGTGCTATCAGGATAATACTTAAGTATTGAGCACCTTCTGTGTGCCAAGGACTGCAGTAGATGCCAGGGATTCACCAGTGACCAAGACAGGAAGGGCCTATCATGGAGTTCACAGGATTAAGGGGAGACAGACAGTAAATAAGTAAACAAAAGACAAGAAAATGCTAGAATAAGTGCTATCAATGAAATAAAAGGATATATCCATAGAAAATGAATTCGTTAATAACATGGAATGCAAGATATAAGTGACCCATAAAAAATAATAAATAATCTGATAGCAGTTTCTTTGCTATTTATTGTGATCAGGCTAATTCTGTGGAGAATTGCTTTCTGGGACCAAGATCAGAAGGGCCATGGGTGGCTGCTGCCAATGTAGGGGCGGCAAAAACTTTACCTCTACCTTCTTAGGGTCTTTGGCTGGGCCTGAGAATTCAATTGACATAAAAAAGATTGACAGGAGAAAAGCATGGACATTTATTTAATGTGTTTTACTGTGACCTTGGAGTCTTCAGAAGGAAACAAAGACCCAAAGAAGTGGCAAAACCTAAATGCTTATACACTGGGTTGAACAAAAAGTGGCAATTGCAATTGTGGAAAAGTAACTAAAATAAAATGAGGAGACTTAAGGAAGATGAGAGTTATTTTAACAAGGTCTCTTTGTACATATTCTACCAGACTTAACTCCCTCTCTGGTGATAAGAATGTTTCTTTCCTCCCGGCATAGGGAGGGCAGTTCTCATATGAGTTTCATCTTCTGCTTTCAGGAAGAAAAAGTGGGAATCAGAGTGCCCTGCTTAAAGATGTTGTTTTCCAAATGCCTTTAACTCAAAATAATCAATATGCTAAGGCAGCATATTTAGAAGTGGCATGTCTTGAACTCCTTCGCTGACATTATCAACAACATTTCTCCATTGTTGAATTGTGAGGGCCACAAGGCAGAACAGTACCTCTTAATGAAATGTTGCAACTGCTGCAAGAAACTGACAATTTTAAGCTCCTTGAAAATAGTCTTTTAGTTTGTACTTCCCACAAGGCCCAAAGACTTGTCAAATATTGAATATAAAATGTAGTGGTTGGATGGGGTTGTCCGACATGGAAATAAGGGACTGAACTAAGAGGTGTCAATATTTTCTGGTAAATGGTTTAACTTTTTGGCTTTGTTCTATAAATATGTGATGAGAAATAGGTATGAACTCTCAAGTTAAAAGAGTGTCATGACTTGTTAATAAGTAATACTGATAGACTCTATGGTGGGTGGAGTGTGAAATTTGGCATCAGAATATCTGAATTTGACCAAGACTCTGCAGGACTTCATACAGTCATTTCACTCCTCTGGACCTCAACCTCTGCATCTGTGAAATCAAAATTATGTTCAGACCTGCCAGGAAGTCAATCTATAATGTCTACAACCAACAGATGGAAAATATATTTATGTACAGCATTAGCATATTGTTTAGAAACACTGAGAAGATGACCAGAAGCAATAATTTAAAGAGTTGAAAATATTTGCTTCTGGAGAGCAGGGCTGAGGGACAGGAAGGACTGAGTTAGAAGGCTGCTGGTTTTCACTATGAGCCTTTCGATGCAGTATCAGGGAGCTATTGCTGTGTGACACAGTCTGAGTACCACAGTCTCCCTTTTAGCTGTGATGACCTGCTTCAGGTACAGGCACAGCTTGGCGGGGGCAGCTCTGTGCCACGTGTTCGTTCTGAAAACCAGGTGGAGAGGGCGGCAGTAACTTCCCTGGGGGAAAGGTCTTTCTTTCCAAGAAGGTGATACAAAACTACAAGAGAGCAAGCCCAATCATCAGGTCAGTGCTTGTCAAAGCTTTGATCAGGTCATGTCTGCTAACATTTCATTAGCCCAAACAAAGGCAACCCCAAAGTCAAGGTGCAGAAGTACCCTTCACTCTTGCAGGTGGAAGAGGAAAGAGTATTTCTGAAAAAATAATCCCATCTACCAGAGTAATATTCGAGTTTTTAAAACTGTGTGCAGTGTATTCATTTGATAAAAACTAACGCTGACTCAGGTCCATTTCAGATCTTGACGGTAATGCAGCTGTCTCAGGAATGTTAACTAGGCTCATTCTTTCACTGCTAAACCATCTGTCTCACCATTTTTATTTTGCTGTGGCTATCTCCTGCTGCAGCAGGCCACCAGCATGGCTGGCTCCTTACAAGAGTTTATTATGGGAACTAGAGCAGAACAGCCTGTCTTCTCTTGGGTTTCCTTCCATTTACCTGAATCCCTCCTTGGTTCTTGAGGTGCACGTCTGACCACTTGCCTCCTCTCCCTGTCTGTCTCTTCTATTTCCCATGCTCCTTCAAAGCTATAAGGGGGCGTTTTTTGCCTGTCACCTTTGCAAACAGCCAAAGGTGAAGTCATTCCAGAACTCCCAAAACGTTTTCTTCTTAAAATGTGAAATGATTAAAGACATTTAAAATTTTTGCACGAGTGCAGATTACTGCATAAATGAATGTACTTACAATTTTTAAAATTGAATAAAAACCATCTTCACCACCATTGTAAGGACCACGATATATGAAAGTCCTTTGTAAACCAACAAAGAAAATTAACGTTATTTCTTGAAAATAAACGTGTTTTTAATATCTAAATTGAAACTAAACAGTTGAGGGGCTGTGCAGTGGCGTAATGGTTAAGTTCATGCGCTCCACTTTGGTGCCCCACGGTTCACAGGTTGAGATCCTGGGCGTGTACCTGTACCTGAACCCACCACTGGTCAAGCCACGCTGTGGCAGCATCCCACATAAAATAGAGGAAGAACGGCACAAATGTTAACTCACCGCCAATCTTCCTCCCCCACCAAAACAAAACAGAAACACTTGACATCTGCAAAATACTGTTTGATCTCATGTATTACTGGTGAGAGTGCTTGTATGGAGTCGCTCAAATGTATTTCCCACTGGGGAATTTTCCCTCCAGTTATACCTGCACAAGGACAGATGAATGTCATTCAATGCTGTGCTGTCTGTACAGAAAACGACCGGAAATAACCTGTTATCAGTAGGGCACCAGTAAATAAACTGTGAAATATACTCATAATGGCATACTATCTATGGGGGGGGGGGGTGGAATGAGGAAGTTCTTTTTGATATGAAAAGATCTCCAAGATCCTCACTTAATAAGGTGGTGGCGGCGGGAGGGGACGTGCGGAACAATGTATACAATCTACTACATTTTTATGAGACAAGGAAAACAAGAGCACGTATTTGTATTTGCTAGTGCTTGCATAAAAAATACTGGAAAGATACCCAAGAAACTAATTATCTGTTACCTGTAGGTGTAGGGGTGGCACTGCATGGAGACAGACAGGAGCCGGTCTACGCTTACCACTTCGGTTTTCGAAAGTGGTGCTAGTAGCAATATTCGAAAACTGCTAAAAATACAATTTGAGATTATAATTTCAATAGATTTAATCAAGTACTTGTTAGATTTACGTGCTCGGCACTGCGCCAGCCATGTGGATGCAGAGACAGCACTGGGATCTTTTTAAACTAATACACGTGAAACTACCGCGCCTAACTAATGAGGCGCAAGGGGAGCGGGGCCGACCGTGGGGGAGAGAAGGCGGCGAAGACCGTGAAGACAGAGTCCTAACAGAGCGGAGGCGAAGCGGAGGGGCGTCCAGGAAAGAGGATCAATGCAAAGGGAGACGATGGTGCACAGAGGAAGCGTGAAGGAACTACTCTGGCTCGTGACAACACTTGTTTAACGGAAGCCGCCGCGGGAGACGCATCGCACCTCTGGGCTGTGGCGAACAGCAGGTTAAATCCAGCGGGCGCCGGGGCCAGGCCGGACCGTGCCACTGGCCGGGGGGAGATTTCGTGAGGATGCATGAGTCCACGGGATTCTCGTGGTGATGGGTGTTCCAAGGAACTACCCTAGGCGCACCGTCCGGACGCCGAAAGGCAGGCCGTCCCCCGCGGTTCTCCGAGGTGGGTTCGGCCGGATGTGACGTCACGGACGCGAGCGGTGTGCGTCTGCACAATGCGGGGGGGGGTGGGGAGACCTGAGAGCTCGGGCACCGCGCGTCTGCGCAGTGGGGGACTGGAGAGCCGGGCCGGGCGGCGCGAGTCTGCGCAGTTTAGGGGCGTGAGGGAGGCGGGGAAACGCGCGTCTGCGCAGTGCGGGGCTGAGGGCTGCGACTCGGGCGGTGCGCAGGCGTGGTGCCGTGCCTCCCTGTGTAGGCCGCTTGTGGTTCTGCAGTCCCAGGCGCAGGAGAAGAAGGGTCGCGTCTGTGGGAGGAGAGGCGAGCTTCAGGTCGGGCCTGGGAAGCGCGGCGCGTGCGCAGGCCGTGGCGCTGCGGGCGGCGAGGGGGCGCTGGGCTTCCCGGCTGGACAGCCGGTGGGAGGGCACCACCCTCGGGGCTCCCCGAGCCCGCGCAGACCCGAGCCGGGGCCGTGAGACTGCGGCTTCCAGCTGCCAGCGCAGCAGCGGCTGTAAAGCTTCCAACATCGTGCACGGGGCACCCCGCCAGATTGGAACTGCTGGTTAAGCGTGTGATTGTGGAAGTGGACTTATTAAAATCGATTTTGCATGATCGGCAAACTCCAGAAAATAGTCTAAAAACTATTCAGACCCTGGTTTAGCAGCTCTTGTTTACGATGAGGACTAAGTGTAAAGAGAGAGAATTTGGTCGGGTTGAGTTTGGTGAAGGGAATTCCCGTCTTTCTCCGTTATAAAAAAAAGTGTGCAGATGTTTAGCACTGTTAACTCCCTCCAAATTTTTAGTACCATTATTGGAACTAAAAAAATTCCCTCCAAAAATCTTACAGGCTAATTGCTAAAGACCGTGTATTTTGCTTTTTGCCCATGAAATTGTTGGGTCGTTTCTATATGAAATAGTGCTTCAAAAAAGACGATTTTTTATCTCCCCGCATTGTGTGAAATTCGAGGCCCATGTACTTGTGTTTTAGGAAACCTCATTTGCGATATATTATTAGAAATTGAATTTTAAGAAACATGGTAAAAGGAAATCTAAACAATACTAACACGCCTTAGCAACCTGTGTTTTCATCTCAAAAGTACAGCGGTTGAAATTGTACTTTGTAAGCCACTATTAACCTAAAATGCTTTTTTCAGCTTCAGTTGTGTTTGTCTATCAGAACCTTTTCCCTGGGAGGCACTTAGTTACTCTGCTTAAAAATGTTCCTCAACTTAAATTTTGGGCCTCTTCCAGGGTTGCAGTGAAAGTGTTTTGAAAATCCTTTTTTCTTTTTCTTTTTTTTAGTAAGTCTTTAAAAAGTGCAACATCAAAATGGCTTCAAAAAGAGCTCTGGTCATCCTGGCTAAAGGGGCAGAAGAGATGGAGACGGTCATCCCTGTAGATGTCATGAGACGAGCTGGAGTAAGTCCCCTGACATTTTCTAGCCCTCCTCCCCTTTACAACATTCTTGGGTTTTTAAAAGTCATTTTGAATAAAACATTCAATGTACTTTGTGAAATATTCAAATGTACACAAAAGTAGAGAGACCATATAACAATAATTACCTATTTATCCGTTGTCCACATGTAACACTTGTTAACATTTTGCCGTATTTCTTTCAGACCCATTTCTTGAAGAACAAATGCTTTAAAGAAGTAAAGCATTGCAAAGCCCTCTTTGTAAATGTCACCAATCCTATTCCCCTTCTTCTGGCCCAGAGATAACTGCTGTCCTCACACTGATGTGTATCCATCCCATGAATGTCTTTAAAGTAGTATTAGACTGTAGTTCTCATTCTGCGTGTCTGTATTATATATCTCTATATCTGTCTGTAACCATAGTGGAGACTTAAATAGCACATACTAGTGGCATTCTAAGCACTTATATAAACTTGTTTAAATGTTGCAACAGTCCTATGAGTTATTGCCATTCTCATTTTACAGTTGAAGAAACTGAGGCACAGAGACACCCAATAAAGTGCCCACACTGTAGAGTTAGTGAGTAGAAGAGCTGGTACTCAGACGTGGCACTCTGGCCCTTGAGTCTGTGAACCTGACATTCCTCTGGTTCTCATAAGTGGAGATTTGTGTAGATCCAGTTTGTGTATTTAAAATTGCTGTTTAGTGTTGCACTGTGGGGATATGCCACAATCCATTCTTCTGTTACACTGTTTCATGGCATTACAGTACTGTAATAGTCTTGTGGAAGTTTTTCCAGGCTCTGTGCCTAAAAGTGGAATTGCTAGGCCAAAGGACAGTCCATAATTGGTATTACTAGATTTTGTCAAATGACTCTTCAAGAAGCTACCAACGTGTGGCCCATCAGCATTGTAGGAAAATTCCCCTTTTTCCAGTACCGGCTCTTGGTACTGTCAACTTTGTAAATTTTTGCAAGAAAAAGTAATATATTGCTGTTTTAACTTGCATTTCTGCCTTAAGAAAATACCATAAGGTTTTAATGGCAACAATAATTTTGCAAGATGGATTATTAGTAAGATGATCATGTTTTATTACCCAAACCAGAACACGTGGGGGAAAGGACACTAACCAGACAGGGTGCCAGGACAGCATCTGTACACCAGGACTCTCCCAGGCAAATCGGGACAGACCTAGTTATTAAATATATTTAGCCGACTTATTAGCTTAAAGTCAGCGTGGTTTTGTTACAGTATTTCCTGCCAAGTTATTTTAAAACACAGGACAGCTGTGAAATGTTACTCTAAACTTATGTTTCAGTGTTCTTAAATATCATGATGACATCTTTTCCTTAGATTAAGGTCACCATCGCGGGTCTGGCTGGAAAAGACCCAGTACAGTGTAGTCGAGATGTTGTCATTTGTCCTGATGCCAGTCTGGAAGATGCAAAGAAACAGGTTTGTTCTCCATACTTGGAATTATTCGTTCCTGTGGCTTCTTTATCAGTTTCTTGAAAAGTCTTTTGACTGCCTCTAAGGCTGTGGTGAGCACAGACTTATTTTAAGAAAGTTACTTTGCTTAGATGTCTTCCCCACTAGACGAAGCCCTGGGCAGTTGAGGATTTTGCTTTTCCCACGCTGTGTCCGTGGAACCTGGCAGTTGCCTGATAGCACACGTGCTCAGTGAGGGGGTGGGTGGGTGTGGATGGGGCACTTCATCAGGATTCTTCTGGCTTACGCAGGCAGGCTTGCCTCCTGTTATAACTTGGTTACCTGCTCTGAGAGAAGCAACTGCCACGTTGCCCATTCATTTCTTGTTTTTTATTCAGAAACTGCTCTTTACTTTTTCATTTTCACTGACACAGACGGAGTTGTGTGACTCATTTTATGTGGAACACTCATACTTGATTAGTGGTTGGATTAAGGGAGGAGTAAGAGTTCTACTTAAATTGTGTCGGTTTTTCAGTATCTTTAGAATTACGGTTCTCACCTTTGAGGGTAACCAACACTTTTGGGGATCTGTCAAGAGCTGAGGTCCGTTTCCTCAGAAGCATGCCCGCCCACACACACACAGACACTTTTGCACATGCTTTCACAGGGTTCAGGCTTCCCGGGCCAATGTGACAGGAGTGTGGGCCGTGCCCTTTTGGAACGGAGATGTGGCAGGAGAGGAGGCAGAGCCAGCTCCTGGATGGCCATTTGTGCCCTGCTGGGGAGCCCCAGAGCATGATTCCCCATGCTTGGCTGTCCTCATGCATAGAAAAAAGTGTATCCTTTTCTAGTAAATTCAGGTATTTCAGTGCTACATTGTGGAGAATTCGAATGTTGATAGTGACATAAATTGTTGAAATAGTCTAAATAGTGTGTTAAAAGTGAGAGATAGAAGTAAATATTCCTTCTCTGTTCTTTTTCGTCCTGTGGCATCTGGGTATTTTAGAACAGTAGTTACCTTTTGTGTCTGCTTATTGTTCAGTTCAGATTCTAAAAGTAATGAAAGAAATTCTATACTTAACGTATTTTCTTTTTTTTTTTTAAGATTTTTAAATTTTTCCTTTTTCTCCCCAAAGCCCCCCAGTACATAGTTGTGCATTTTTAGTTGTGGGTCCTTCTAGTTGTGGCATGTGGGACACCACCTCAGCGTGGCCTGATGAGTGGGGCCGTGTCTGTGCCCAGGATTCGAACCGGCGAAACCCCGGGCTGCCAAAGCGGAGCACTTAACCACTCGGCCATGGGGCCGGTCCCCATATTTTCTTTTTAGTTTTTAGTTAGGCTTGGTTTTAAAGCAACAGGATGGGGGCTGGCCCAGTGGCACAGCGGTTAAGTTTGCATGTTCCGATTCTTGGTGGCCCTGGGTTCATCGCTTTGGATCCTGGGTGTGGACATGGCTCCGCTTGGCAAGCACCATGCTGTGGTGGGCGTCCCACATATAAAGTAGAGGAAGATGGGCACAGATGTTAGCTCAGGGCCAGTCTTCCTCAGCAAAATGAGGAGGATTAGCAGTAGTTAGCTCAGGGCTAATCTTCCTCAAAAATAAAAAGAAAACAGAATGTTTGTAGTCTTTAAAAGTAATTCTAAATAGTATATGTTGCACTAAGTATGTACTAAATTTTTATTTTGTAATTTTCTTATTATTTAAAACTTTAACTTCTTAAAGGATTGTTAAACCAATTTCCGTTTTGTAATTTCAGCAAGCTTGAAATCATTAGATGATGATGATGATGATGTTTTGGTGTTTGAGATACTAAAGTATTGTGTTATTTTTCTCTCCGAAGTTCCATTTTTCATAAAGTTAAAATTTTTTTTCTGTGCCTTTTACTTAAAATTTGTTTTTCTTTTGATTGTTTTTCATTACTATGTACATTCTTGTTGAAAGATAATTTATACAGAATAGACATACATGAAGTCAAAATGCTAAATGTCCCCTCTCATTCTCCCGCTGCCTCCATCCCACACTGCCACCCATTAGCAGTAGGGGTCTCCTTTGTCTGTCAGGATCTGTATATGCAGACACGTGGGGGACTTGTATGTGTAATATATACATGTATCTACATATACGTGCATTTGTTTTTATAACAATGAGATCATGCTACACCTACCATTCTGCAAGATGGACATCTTTTCATGTTTCTATATACAGATTTTCTGCATATTTTGCACTTATGACAACATTCCGTCATAGTGGTACACCGTAATTTATTTAGCTGCTCTTTGAACAGTTTTTGCCATGACTCTCATTTAAAATACGAAAGTATTATTGGACTATCACTTTAATGCACTTTTCAAATGAAGTGTTTTCACTTTTTTTTTTAACTGTTACAGGGACCTTATGACGTAGTGGTTCTGCCAGGAGGTAATCTGGGTGCGCAGAATTTATCTGAGGTAAAAACTGCATAAAGTATTTCAGCATCTGCTTGTGTTCTCTTGCTTTTGTTATTGAAATGTTTCAGAAAGGTGGCTGTGAATAAAATAGGAACAGGTGAAATTAACAAAATAGTGTTCTAGCTTAATTAAAAAAAAATTCTAATAACATTTACTGTAGGAGTAAGCTGAATTGGTGGAACAATTATTTATGAACAGATTCAGTGAATCGAGTCCAAAAAGACTGCTTTTTTTTTCCTGCAGCAGCAGCAGAATGACCTAATTTTGTGTTTTATGAAGGATTAAGCATAGAAAGATAAGAGATTGGCTGTCCACTCACCAGTCGGGGTTGCGAGGGTTGCAGGGGCCAGAGCTGCCAGTTTGAATGAAAAATGGCCTCAAAGGAAGCCACTGCTGCTTCATCTGAAGTGTTATGTGAGGAGTCGGCCTGCAGGAAGAAGGTGGGGGAAGGGCCCCGCAGACAGAAGCTCATGAAGCTTCCAGTCAGGTCGAATCACACATTTGGGACCCCAGACTCTGTTCCTGACTCTGCCATCTGAAAACAGCCGAAATGCCGCATTCCCTCCCTTCTGTTTCTTTCTCCCTGGAGTCCAAAATGGCAAGGGTCAACGTGCCCAAGGGAAATTGCTTTTCTCATCTCATCTTTAAACATCTTTAGGAAAAGGATGCTTTTCTCTTACAATAAAGTCCTTGATTGGGTTTAAGAACGTACAAAACATTATAAATTTGATAATTTTTGTATTGATGATTTAGAAATATCGTTGAAGAATAGTCAGATTGAAGATCGTGTGGTTTACGCTAAAATCAGATTCTACCAAAGTTTCTAGCCAGAAATTGGCTTGTGGCTTAATGATAATTTGGTGTGTTTTTGGTTTTCTTTGAATAGTCTGCTGCTGTTAAAGAGATACTGAAGGAACAAGAAAAGAGGAAAGGCCTCATAGCCGCCATCTGTGCAGGTAATGTCAGAACCAGCCTGTGTTAAAATGTGGTGTTGGTTTTTTCAAAAAATATGTGACGGGGTAGTCTGTAATCATAAGGTTTTGTTCCACATACTTCTTCCCCTTCATAAGGCACAAAGGGCGTCTGTATTGATGTTTTTAGTTTGGGTGGCATGAAGTTGCTGTCGTTTCAGAAATGAGTCCAGTTGTTCTGTTTTCTGCTTCTCCGTGCCTTTGGTCTACATTCTATGAAACTTAGTGTTTTCCATGTTTAGTTGACCTCGGAGGAAATAAGACCCTCTGGAATTCAGAAACAGCTTGTTCCAGCAAATCTCTGTGCCAGAAAGTATTTGTGCCAGCACGCAGTCAGCAAGAATCAGTCAGACATAAACATTGCAGCTCTGCCCTGTGCTTGCCCTGGCTTCCAAGGCCTCGGGGTGCTTTCCGTCTGATCTCCAGTGTGGAGCGCTGGGCCTTAGGCATTCTGCTGTCTGCCACAGGATTTAGAAGAAGGTCATTGGTGCTGTGTAGATGTCCTCATGTCTTTGAAATTTAGTAGTATTTTGTTTTCTGATACCGTTTTTAAATCCATTCTTGTTGCTCTAATGTCATATGATGTTCTGCCATCTTGCACTTTTTCCCTAGCGTCATTTTGGCCGGTGTCTTCCTTGCTACAGATCTTTATTAAATGTCTGTCAAAAGAGCAAATAAATAAACGAATGGATGGGTGAGTGGTTTGATGAAATGACATGTTGATGTTTTGTTTCCTACAGTAGACTCTAGAAGTACAGCCTAGGGATCCTGGGGACTCTGCTTCAGAGCAGTGGTTCTCAGAGTTCTTTCAAAGGGCTCGTAAGGTCAAAGCAGATGCTACTAAGGCGTTGTTTGCCTTTTTCCTCCTCGTTCTCACAAGAGTGACATGAGAGTGTGGCAGTGCCGGCATTCGGGCATGGTGTGTGTGCTCTAGTATTCTACATAGTAAAAATCTCCCAGTTTTGATTTCTAACTTGGCACTTGGTAGGTGTAATCCACATAAAAGCTAAAGAGGTGCGAGGACCCGAATGTTTGAGAACTGCTGCATTAGAGCCGGGGAGGGACCCAGGGACCCACCGCCCCGACAGGCCCTGTCCTTGGGGTCCGGTCCACACTAGTGTCTTCGCCTGCCCTGGGGGTGCGGGGATTTCCCTCTGCAGAGGTCGCCGTGGCCCAGCAGCTGCACCCCTTGGGGAGGGAGCCTCAGATCCAGTAGTCGTACAGTCGTCCTGCCCCCCATTCTTAGGTCTCTCACCAAAGGAAGAAAGGAAGGGTTTGGGCTGGCTTTGTTCCTTTCTGACTGCTGAAAGTAAACACCACGTCAGTGTGTCCTCTGTGTCACTAAGTTAGCACAACTTATCAGCCACATCTGATCACTGTTGTGCTAGGCGAGCTGGAATGCCAAGCTCGGGAACTCAGGCCTTAGCGTCGTTTAAATCGACATTAAAAATAAACACACTCTAACGATGTGTTTGTGTTGTTGAACATCCTGCACTGCGCTTCTGGTTCCTGCAAAAAATAGGAAGAAGTGCAATAAGAAATAAGATGATTCTTAAGTGCTGTGGTTAGGAATCGGGAACTGTTGATTGAACCGAAAGAATATTAACTTTGCCCCTAACATTGAGTGAGTGAGAAATTGGAAGAGACTATTCTGAGCAGAAAATAAAATGAGATTCCCCCTGGGCGGGGGAGAGGGAAGGAAGCCTGGAGGGAAAGGAGCCAGCAGTCGTCAGGTGCCTGGGGCTAGGACACCTGGAGGGGCTGGGGGTGGCCCTGCTGTCCTTCCTCTAAGTGACCGCACGGTGGCGCTGTTGGCTTTGTCCTCGTGGCTGCCCAAGGGGATTCTGTCCCCTGTGGCCTCTGCTCCCACGCAGAGCTGCATCCCTGCTGGGACTCGGCCAAGCCTCATCCGCCAGGTTCAGGCAGTGGGAGGAGTGAAGTGTCTCCTCTCCAGTCTTCCAAATAGGTTTCTGAAGCCCCAGAAAGCAGTAATTATGAGCTTACCACCACGAGTGAGTAAGTTCATCAGTAGATTCCTACAGTCAACTCAGAAATCCACTAACATTACTGTGGGCCGCAGTTTGATGACCTGAAGGGAGCAGGTGCAATCGCGGTCCTCACTGCACGACCATCTCTTGAGGTTTGCTTTAAAGTATTAGATGACATGGGTGATTATTTCTTATTTCCTAACATCTTACAAAATAAGAAGACTAATACATGAATCCATTCAAATAAAAATTGAGTGACAGTTATTCATTTTTATGTAACTCCTTTTCCCTTGGAGTCAGGCTGAACAGTGGAAGGTCAGTGGAGCGAGTGCCGAGCTTTGCTGGAGCTGAAGTGTGGGGCCCTGTCCCAGGCCTCCTCGCCCTGGCAACGTGGAAGGCGAAGGGCTGTTCTAAAGCACGTTCCTGCAGGTGTGACATGAAGCCTTAGAAAGTGTTTTTTTGTGGTTTAGAGAAAAAAAGGTAGACTAACTACTTTTTAAAAAGTTTTAGGTTAATATAATAAAGGTATAAAACCTTGATTTTAGTTCTTATTTGAGGTCCATTACATACAAAATATGCTTGCGATTATCAGTGAATTGACCATTTTCAGCGAATACATTTAGATAAAAATCTCAAGTTAGCAACCGCATGTTTTTAAAACTTCATTTTAAAAGGGAAGAATAGTGGATCACAAACTGACACTTGCGCTTGGTTCTTCTCTTAAGTAGTTTTAGGGGCCGGCCCCGTGGCCGAGTGGTTAGGTTTGCGCGCTCCGCTTCAGCGGCCCAGGGTTTCACTGGTTCAGATCCTGGACAACGACGTGGCACCACGCTGAGGTGGTGTCCCACATGCTGCAACTAGAAGGACCCACAACTAAAAAAATATACAACTGTGTGTTGGGGGGACTTGGGGAGAAAAAGCAGGGGGAAAAGAAGGTAGTTTTAATCAAGAAACTCTAGTGCCTTTGTATCTCAGGCTTGTAGGCATTTCACAAATATCTCCTTCAGGGCTGGACGCTGTCCTCTTCATTTTGATAACCTTCTACCTGGTGTGTTTGGATGGATGAATGGATGAGCGCTCATTGTTCATTTTCAAGTAGAATATAAAATTAGCCTGTGAGACAGCAGTCGAGTCCAGAGGTTTGGAGAGTGCCAGGTGCCTCTAATGCGTAACTGCAGCTTTTATTTGCTAAGAGTAAGGCAAGCCCTCAGTGGTGCCCCCTCCTTTGCACCCCTGACATCCTCGCTGCCTGCTCCTCGGGGCCACAGCCTGTTTATCTGTATACTTGGATATCAAGCTGGATCTTTCTGAGTAAATGTTGTTGAAGTATTTTGAGTTTGTACATTTTTGCCAGATGTGCTCAGCAGATGGTTTATTATAGACATTTTACCTCTCATACCAAGAAGTATTTAATTTCAGAATCATAAGTATATTTTAGGTAAGAGCCTCCTGATTTTGAGGAATACTTTTCTGTTGCAATTTTTAAAACGCGGGTTTTCCATATCTCCACGTAAATCTTTCTATTAATCGTCTTTTTAGGTCCTACGGCTCTCTTGGCTCATGAAATAGGTTTTGGAAGCAAAGTTACAACACACCCACAGGCTAAGGACAAGATAATGAATGGAAGTAAGTATATGCTTATATTTTCATGTTGAAAAGCTCTCATTTAGCATTGTTTTCCACTCAGTATAATCTAATCCGTAGAGATCCTGTGTGGCTTGAGGTGTGGCGTGTCCCTCGCTCTCTTTGCACGTGTTTCACTAGACGGGGGAGCTGACGTGGGGTGGAGAGGTGGTGTGTGCCTGTGTCTGTACCCTGATGGGCGGCGTAGCGGCTACGCCGGAGGCCAGCCAGACTCCTGATTGTCAGAGATGGAAGTGATTGCGAAATGTCAGTTAACTAGTATCCTTACTAAAGGCTTTGCCGGTGCCCTGAGGGTAAATTTGAAACCTCGACAGCAGTTTCAGAAAGTGCCCTTTTGCCCACAGTCCGGAGTGCAGTGAGCAGTGCTCGCTGCCTTCAGAGAAGGCCTAGGTGGCAGGGCTGTTGGCTTCGGTGACTTGTTTCTTTCATAAATATCAGCTAGACCTTTAACTTTTTTTAGATTAGCCCTGAGCTAACATCTGCCAATCCCCCTCTGTGCTGAGGAAGTCTGGCCCTGAGCTAACATCCGTGCCCATCTTCCTCTACTTTATGTGTGGAATGCCTGTCATACCTTGGCTTGCCAAGTGGTGCCATGTCCACACCCGGGATCCAAACTGGCGAACCCCGAGACGCCAAGAAGCAGAACGTGTGAACTTAACTGCTGCGCCACTGGGCTGGCCCTGACCTTTAACTTTTATTAACTTATTTTTATAAGAAAAGTTTCTATTCATGGTAAAAAAAATGCAAACAGTATAGAAGGCGGTGAAATAATTAATATTCCTCTTCTCCAACTTCCCTCCTTTGTATTTTTCAGAGATGACTTCTGTTAAAAGCTTCTTGTGTAATTTTAGAATTTTCTCTCTACGTACTCATTGTCCTTCATAGTGTAATATTTTTACTCAAATGAGATCTAAATACATTGCTCTGCAGTTTGCTTATTTCACCTATTTTTTTTTTTTGTAATTTATCAAATATTTGTCTAATTCTCTTGTGTTGCTCCTTATTTGGAGGCTGTAAAAGAAGCATGGCATCGTCTCTGTCCTCTGGGAGTTAACAGCTTGCAGAGATGTATACATCAAATTTAAAAATACAGGGCAGCCTATAATTAACAGAAAAACCGTGAAACCAAGCACCTGCACGTACAGCTGTGTGGTAATGGCTGCTTCCTCGGTGGCAGCTCCTGCTGCTCAGCGGGACATTCTGAGCGCCAGCCAGGTCGTGCCTTTGGTCAGGCAGGTGGCACCTTCCTCTGCCATCTGTCCCTGGAGTGCATGTAACAGAGAGGCAGAGACCTGGGACTTGCAAAGAGAAAGAGAAATCACACTAGTGTGGGTAATTGCAAGAGCATCAGCGGTTTCCAGTCAGAAGCCAAAAGTGGTTCAACCAGCGTTCAGCCAGTGAGGAAACTGAGTGGCTAGCTCTGCATAGAACATGAGCCACCCAGAGACCAGTGAATAAAGAGAAAGTCAAATGATAGTAACTAGTCTGATTTGAAGACACCTGTGCAATGGGAACATTTTCTCCCCCTCAGTCCTGCTCTCTGCTTATTCTGAACTAAAACAAAACGTAGGACAGTTATGTTGTCTTTTCACAGTAAAGTAAAATGATGCATTTTTCATTATATTACTTTTTTAAGAAAATTAATAGACCTTATTTTTTTTAGCAGTTTTAGGTTCACAGCAGAATTCAGCAGAAAGTACAGCTTTCCCGTATACCCCCTGTACCCGCACATGTGCAGTCTCCTCCCCACCAGCTTCTGTCGCTGCACCAGGTGGATGTGTTACAGTTGGTGAACCTGCGTTGACATGTCACCAGCACCCAAAGTCTGTAGTTTACGTTAGAGTTCACTCTTGGTGTTGGACATTCTGCATATTCTTAAATTTGATCCACAGTAGTATTTTCTTGAAAATTTATAATTTTATTGTAGTTGTTAGAAAGATACTAGATTGTCAATAAAAACATCTGTGTGAAAATTGATTTTAAAAAAAGGCTCTGGCTTCTGGGCATTTTTTAGTATAGGCATCGCATTTACTCTGAGCCATGGAGAGGTTTTGGACGGTGGGAAGGAGCGGGCTCAGGTTCCTTGAGTAGTTGTGGTGTGTTAGCAGGAAGACCCCAGTAGAACACACTCCTGTGTTATCTGAAGGTGTGTCTCTTGTGTCTGTTTTCTTGTAATGCCCCAGGAACACTGAGGTTGATCAGGAAGAGAAAAAGATGAGACTGTGACCCCTCAGGTGTTTGCGTAGTACGTTCACATGCGTTATTTCCACGGCAGCCCGCAGTCCCTACTGCCTGGTAAGGTGGGTGCTGACTTCACCGATGGGGCAGCGGAGGCTCAGGAAGGCGAGGCCACTAGCCCAGGATCTGGCCGGAACCCAGGCCCAGCCTCTGTCCTTGTCAGGTTCCCACATACAGTTAAGTTACCAGGCATCAAATTTAGTCAATAAGTCCTATTTTGAGAAAAAATGTTTGAAATGTCTGCCCCTTCAGAGCATTCTGAGACGTGGAGCTGTGATCGCTTCTGGGCATCTGGTCCCGTGAGGCCCTTCTGCTTGTCCTCATCCTGAGCTTGATAGGTCAGGGTGACATTGTCCCCTGAGATGAGCAGGCCAGTCTGAAGGGCTGTCCTGCCATTTCTCAGTGTTTACTGTAAGTGAGTTGTGACTTTCGTGGTTTTTTCAGTTCTCATTTGTCCATTGTTTTAGTAGGCATCTGAATGCCTGGTCACATAGATGAGTAGTGAGGAGCAGGGTCTCGAGCCAGACAATGTGGCTGTGGCTCCCAACTCCCCACTCACTGTGTGACTGTGGGCAGGTTCCTTAACCTCTCTGAGCCTCAGTTTCCTCGTCTGTCATCTGAGGATAACAGTAGCGCCTGCCTCAGGGTTGTTGACAGGCTCAGTGAGTTAATATGTGAAACACACTAGAACACTGCTTGGCGTGCAGCCCGTGCTGGAGAACGGCGGGCTGGTTGGTGCCCAGCTCTGGGCCAAGTGCTGGGAACACGGCAGTGAACGGGCTGCCCTCCACTGGCCACTGTCCCTGCTCATACCACCACTTCGTACTGGTGTTTGGCTTGATTGATTCCCACGATAGCCCTTTGGGGCTGGTATCATCCCCATTTTACAGACGAGGAAAGTGAGGCTCAGAGGTCGGACAGTTCCTAAATGACAGACCTGGGGTTTGAACCCCGCTGCTGTGCTGGAGGGTGGGGGTCAGCGACTCTCCTTAAGGGGCCGGGTAGTAACAGCTCGGGCTTTCCGGGCCTTCGGGTCTGGCAGCTCCTCAGCTGCAGCTCTAAGGAGCCACAGACCAGGAGCTGACGTGTGCGCCTGCCGGACGACCCCCGCTTGCTGACCCCTTGCCCCTGGCCTCACCACTTGCTTTGTCTCTGAAGAGACTTCCCGGATTTGGGTGTTTGTATAAAGTGAAAAGAAGTTAATGCCTCGTGCCCAATGGCACGTGGGGTGTAAATTTGCTGAGTTCCTGAGTCCCATCCGCTGCTGTGTGCGGCGCCCTTGCTGGTGGGCTGCGCATGCGTGGTCTTTCTTCGCCATCGCCACTAGGTGGAGGTAGTCGATCGGGGTGGACCTTTTGTTCTTCCTGGTTGAAATTTTGAAAACTCTGGACCTTCTTTAACCAGTTGAAGCTCTGTTGGCAGTATTTTACCCACAAAGAGCTTGTTACGTGAACTGTTCAGAATGGTGCCTCGCGCTGCCCGGTCCAGGCAGTTGGTCTCAGCGCTGAAGACCCGGCCCAGCCGGTTTTCTAGTTGAGCATTTAAAATTATCTCAGCCTGGCTTATCCATCAGTAAATGAGGCTGGATTATGAAAACCTTTTCCCCTCAAACCAGGGACCTCTTTTCCTCTACAATGGTGTAACTAGGAAATTTTTGATGTACTGTATTCGGTTATTTCAGTGGGTGCCTTGGTTTTTAATGAGGACAGTAAGATGTATACTGTGGTTTTGTTTATCCCCTTTGAAAGGACATCAATATGTGGTCTCTAAAGATCATTCATACAGCAGAAGGATGTTGCTTCTGCTTTAAGGGGGTCATTAGGTGATTTTTTATTTTTCAAGGTTGGCCCTGAGCTAACATCTGTTGCTACTCTTTTTTTTTTCCCTCCTCCTTCTCCCCAGAGCCCCCCCAGTACATAGTAGTATACTGTAGTTGTAGGTTCTTCTGGTTTTGCTATGTGGGACACCTCCTCAGCATGGCCTGATGAGCGGTGCCATGTCCGAGACCAGGCTCTGAACTGGCAAAACTCTGGGCCGCCAAAGTGGAGTGCGCAAACTTAACCACTCGGTCCCAGGGCCGGCCCCATGTGATTTTTTTTTAATGTATCTGTTAAACAGGCATTTCCTGAACACTTTCTTAGGCTCTGGCAACCGAAAGAGGACCAAGACAGAGCCGTGCCCTCAGGCATCCTCAGGTTGGTGGGGGACACTGGTGTGGCCTCACTGAATTTAGGGGTGGGGAAGAAAGGTGGTCAGAGGTGGTGTGTGTGCCTGACTCAACTTGCAGTGACAGGGTGTCGCAAGAGGAACCTCGTCGGCCTTAACCCCTCCCCCAAATTTGTTTGTCCTTCACGTCCATGATGAGTGGCAACATCACCCACCCAGTTGCCTGGGACAGACAGCCGGGAGTCATCCTTGACGCCTGCCCACGGCCCGCCCTTCACCAGGTTCCGGCAATCTTATCTCTAAGACACATCTCCAACCTCCATTTCCCGCCTACTGCCACTGTCCCCATCCAGGTCACCGTCCGAGCGCCCACCTGGACAGCAGGTTCTTTTCTGTCTCCCTTCGGGTTCCTTCCAGGCCAGCCTCTGTGCAGGCCAGACCCAGGGGGCTTGCACACTGTGACGTGGAGTTGAGTCACCATTAGGTGCTGGAGAAATTTGGCGGAGGGGAGAGAGCTGAGTATGCTCTGAGTTACACTTGGGCAAGGTTCCTGTTTTGGGGGTGCTGAGCATGGAGTGGAGGGGGGAGAGCCAGAAGGAAGGGCTGTAACGCAGACATCCTGCTGTAAGGTGGTGGACGCGGAGAGCAGAGAACGGGAAACGTTCATCCGTTCCTTCACCTGATCCCTGGGGACGCCTCCTGGGTGCTGTCAGTTTTCTAGGCCAGACAGGGGCAGATGAAGGCCCAGCCTTTTAAAGAGTAGACAGTAAACACGGAGACAGATTGTTTACAGATTGTGTCACTGCCGGGGGCGGGGGGGGGGGGGGGGCAGGGCGGGCTGTGATCGAGTGACTTGGTTTAGAGAGGGCGGTCACAGATAACGTCTCTGAGGGGTTGGTGCTGATGCTGAAACCAAGGGTGAAGAGCTGAGAAGAGTTTCCTGGGCAGAGGGAGCAGCCTGCGCAGCTCTTCCTGGGGCAGGAAGGGTGATGTGCTCAGTGACCGAGAGCTCCAGGTGGGAGAGGGTGGGGACAAGCTGGGGTGGGCGGAGGCCAGGTCCCGTGGGGTCCTGCTGCACCATGAGGAGTTGGAGCCTGGTTCTGTGTTCAGTGGGAGGTTGATGGCTGCCTGGTGTGGGCTGAGAGCCTGAGGAGACCCCAGGCCAGAGACATGCCCAGAAGCCGTGTCATTTCCTAAATGTGAGTATAGGAAATGCACATTCTCGTTACTCTATTTGCAAACACACAGCTAGTTGGGGACGCAGGAGTCACCCCGCCCGTGGGAAATGAATGCGGCTCTCCCTCTCCCCCCGCCATATGTTATGTGTGACTTTCGTTTGTTTTTGAGACAGCAGAGAGCGCGTGCCCCCTAGTCTGCCCAAACAGGTTGTTTCTACCTTCAACACCGTTCCACCCTCAGGCTCCTTCCCCTCAGCATTTTGTAGGGAAGGAAAGATAATTTTCTCTCTACCCTTCTGAGTTCTTGGCTGAGACCCTTGTAATAGAAGACAGATCAACAAGAGGAAAAGACAGGGAAGTTCATTAACATCTGTACCTAACGTTTTCATGGGAGAGACCCAGGGAGGCATGAGGAGCTCCCTGAGGGGCTTGGAATTCAGACTCAGCACCAGCTTTGTAGGGAGGGGGGAGCCAGGCCTCTGGAGGGTGAAGGATTTGTCGGGAAGGTGAATGGGCCCTCAGAGAACAGATGGGAGGAATGACAGTTTGAGACAAAGTTTGTCTGGGTGTGGTGTTGCCTCTGGTTTCCTCTCCTGTGACAAGAGTCCCTCCTGCCAGTTGATGAAACTCTGGGAGGAGATCTGTGACAACTGATCCCTTGGAGGCTCTGTCTTCAGGCAGATAAGGTGCCTTCAGCTCAAAATAATCCGTCTGCCGAAGCTACATGTTCGGCGGTGGCGTGTCCTGAACTCCTGCAGTCGGATTTTGGGGCGGCATGTTCCCTTCCGTTCATGGAATTGACACTTGAGCATTCGTTGTATGATAGAAATGTGACTGATTAGCATGCATTCCGACCTCTCCCTCGTCACCGTCGAGGTCTAACGCAGCAGCATTAGCTTAGTGTATTTATTGGTTCCGTCTAAACAGGTGTAGTTTCTCTGGTGCTTCACAGACCGCAGCTTCTTTACTGTCTTCGTGCTGTGTGTGGAACAGCTTGAAGTGCCCAGTGGATGTTGGAACGGCCGGCCACAGGGTGGGTGGTTGGTTGGTTTGAGTTTCTCTGAGCCCAGTAACATGCAGTAACAGGGACTTGAACTGCTGAATGATGCTTCTTGTCCAGCGTAGCCCATTAGGATGTAACCCTTTTTTATTTTTACATCGAAGGTCATTACAGCTACTCTGAGAACCGCGTGGAGAAGGACGGCCTGATCCTCACCAGCCGAGGGCCTGGAACCAGCTTTGAGTTCGCTCTGGCCATCGTCGAGGCGCTGAGCGGCAAGGAGGTGGCTGACCAAGTGAAGGCTCCCCTTGTTCTCAAAGATTAGAGCAGAAATATTTGAAAACGGGTCAGAGAACTGGGCCGTCTGTCATCCCTTCTCGCCATGTTCCCTGTAAACACAATGGGTGGTTAACGTGCGGAGAAGCCGTCGTCACTGCCCTCGTGACGTTTAGTTGTGAAGTGACAGCCACACAGATTCCTGGACCTGCAGTTGTGTCCCCACATTTCTGAATGCGGAATAAACAGCACATTTAGCAAACTACTGATTGGTCCTCCTTTTGTCTCCCGTTTCTCTTGTGAAACCACATTCCTTATGAGCTTCTTTTGCAGCTCCTGACTGTTGATAGAGCGACTGAAATAAGTAAGCAGTGAGCACATTTTACACAGCAAGGAGGAAAAGCATAAAAACAAAGATTTAGGAGGCTTGTGGATTCCCTACCTTCATTAACTGTAGCTTTTTTTTTTTTTTGAGCGAGATTCACCCTGAGCTAACATCCATTGCTCTTTTTTTGCTTGAGGAAGATTATCCTTGAGCTAACATCAGTGTCAGTCTTCCTGTACTTTGCATGTGGGACACCGCCACAGCATGGCTGATGAGTGGAGTACGTCCGCACCTAGGATCAGAACCTGTGAACCCGGGCTGCTGAAGCGAAGCACTCAGAACTTGAACCACTCGGCCACAGGGCCAGCCCCACATTAACTGTATCTTTAATGTGCTATTAAAAAATACCAATAAACTTGGCTGCAATGGTGAATTTTTGTAAACCATTTCCTTTTTCCATTGCAGAAAGAGTCCTCAGATGGAATTGAAAAGTTTTCAAGGCTGGCCCACCCTCTATTTTCCCTTCCTTAGGTGAACACCCAACTGCCTCGGGCGGTGGGTAAAATGCACCCCAAGGAGGGGTGGCGACCCAGCCCAGCCAATCAGAGCCCAAATACTCTGACCACATGACCCAGGTGAGACTAGTCAGCCGATGAGACTCAGTTGGGGGGGGCCTCTGTGTACCTGCTGGTGTTCTCTCTGTGCTGGGTGTCAAGAGCACAGGTGGTAAACCTGGAGCCACGGCAGCCACCTTGTCACTGTGAGGAAAGAGCCCGTCCAGAAATGGCTCTAACATGAGAGAGGGAATCCCGAGAACAGGACCTGACCCAAGGTCCAGCTGCACCCGAGCAAGAACAACCGGACTTGTCAACAGGAGCCAGCAAATTCTGCTTTTTTGTCTCATCACTAACAAGTGACTGACCCGATGGCAGAGGAATCCAGTGCTGGTCGGGCCTCTGAAAACAGCTGGGCTGCTGAGTAAGACTTTAGTGCTTAGTGGCACTTTGCTCTCCGGCCTGCTCTTTGGGTATCCTTTCTGACCCTCCTCTTCCTTTTTCCCTTCCCTCCCATGGCATAGAACAAGTGTCAGCAAACTTTCCTAAAAGCCCAGTGGTAAATATTTTGGACACGAGGGCCGTGAAGTGTCTGTCACAACTACTGAACTCTGTCCTTGTGGCACAAAAGCAGCCCCAGGCGGTGGGTTGGGAGTGATCGCAGCTGTGTCCCAAGCCAACATTGGTAGCACTGGGCAGCAGTGGGGCGTTGGCCCTTGGCCCATGGTTTGCCAGCCCCGGACCAGAAGGCAAGGCCGGTGTTAATTTTTTAAAATGCGTACATATGTAATTGAACATTTTGATAAGGACTACAAAGATGTGGAGAGAACAGGAGACGCTTGCTTTACACAGTGGGGGTGTGGACCCGAGGGGAGGCCTCTTGGGAAGTGACGCTGAAGCTGATGCTGTCCCTACTGTGTGCCAAGCCCTGTTCCTGGTGCTGGGAATAAGCCATTGAGAGACACACAGTGTGTCCTCATAGATCTTGTGTTGTGGGAGAGGGAGAGAGAGAAAAACAAATATAGGAATATTTACATTCTGTGAAGGAAGGTAGAGTAAGGAGGCAGTGCCTGCAGGGTGGTTAGAGAAGGCACCTCAGGGGAAATCTGACGAGATGGGTGTGAATGAGGCAGGTGTCTGTTAGGAGTGGTCCAGGAGGAGCAGCAGGGGCCAAGTTGAGGGGGCCTCGCAGGAGGTGGAGGTGGAGAGGTGGCCTGAGCCAAGACTTTGGAACCGATCCCGAGAGGAAACTGTTGGAGGAGGGGCGCAGCCCTCTGTTCAAAGCCTCGCTTTGCTCGCTCGCTCTGCTGAGTAGGGAGCCCACAGGGGAACAAGGGTGCAGGCGGATGCGGGGTCTGTTGCCGCAGGCCTCAGGGCGGGAGGCGGAAGGCTCGCAGAGGATGCAGTGGCTGAGGATGCAGTGGTGGGTGCCCATGTGGCGGTGCGAGGGAGACATGCCCAGGACAATTCCCACATTTCAGACCTGAATGCAGGTCAAATGGAGATTCCGCGTCCTGAGCTGCAGAAGAGCCGTTGGAGGTAGGAGGGGTGAGTCTAGAGTTCAGATTGATGAATTTGAGATGTCTATAAAATACACTTTTAGTAAAGAGTTACTTCAAAAGTACTGACCTGGGGCTGGCCCCGTGGCCGACTGGTTAAATTCGGGCGCTCCACTGCAGGCGGCCCAGTGTTTCGTTGGTTCGAATCCTGGGCGCGGACATGGCACTGCTCATCAGACCACGCTGAGGCAGCGTCCCACATGCCACAACTAGAAGGACCCACAACGAAGAATATACAACTATATACAACCGGGGGGGCTTTGGGGAGAAAAAGGAAAAAAATAAAATCTTTAAAAAAAAAAAAGTACTGACCTGACCCGACAGTGATGGATTGCGAACAGTGAAGGCTGCTCAACTCCCCCAAGTTCCTGAGGCCTTTCCCCAGCAGCCTCTACCTCGGAATAAACTCCTTGGAATTTTAGATCTAGAGGAAGGGAACTATTGAAAGAGATTAGCTCTTTGAAGTTTTTTGCCTTTAGGGCTGCCAGAAGGTGGTTCTAGAATGGAAGACAGTGAAAGAGCGTTTCTGGGAGAATCCTTTATCAGAGCCCAGATGTGGTAAAGATTTTCCCTGACAGTGTTTGAGGCAGGAAGGCCTTATCTAAACCTTGGGCCTTTTCTGGCCAGGTCAAGAATTACTAGCTGTGGGCACATTGATAACATTTAAAGCCTCGCCCTCTCTGTGGGCCTGCTTCTTTCCTATGCTAAACACACCAGCTCTCTTCCTTCTAGGAAGGGTGTATGTGGCGGGGGAGGGTGGGGGGTGGGGGGAGGGTTATACAAACAAAGAAAACTTGGGAGCTGAAGCGGGTGGGGGGCTGTCAACATTTGAAAGTGACCTGGAGTTGGAATTTCTGTGTGTGGTCCTCCCCCAAGCCTGGGGTCACCGGAAGTCCAAGTTGGAGGACATGGGGCATCATTTCACTGGGGACAGTAGCTGCAGCTCCTGGAGCCCCAGTGGTTCACCCAAGGCCACTTGGAGAGCCAGGGAGGAGATCGCATTCAGAAATCAAGTCTCTCGCCCAGAGCTCGGCCTCCTTGACCAAAGGAGAAAATTCCTCTTGCAGGACAGGGCCAGCTCCTGATTGTGGCTTTCCCAGTGCTCAGGAGGCGGCCGCTCCAGTCCCTGAGGCCAGGGTCAGGGTGTTGCTCTGGGGAAGCTGCGCCTCTTCCGAAGGGAGATTTGGCAACTGTGTCTTTCAGATATTACTGTGAAGCAGGCAAATGAAGGGCATAGAGCCATTTGTTTCCAGATGCTAAATAGAACAGGGAGGGGGCCAGGGCTTGTTGAGCAGCCACTGTGACCCCAGCTAGGTGGCTAATTTCTTTCACACTTCATACAAAAGAGATCCTATATGGCACACTGTCCTGCCTCTGCTTTTGCCCTTTGATAACTTAGAGAACTTTTTCTCTGCCAGCATGCGGACATCATTCAACTCAATCTTCCCAACAACCTCACAAGTGGCTGCTGTTGTCATCCATTGTAAAAAGAAGAGAAAACTGAGTTTCTTTAGAGGTCAGGAACGTGTCTGTCCTGTGCCATAGGTTGTTTGGAAGAATCAAAAGCCACAATAAAGGGGGAAGTACGTTTCTTAAACTGTGAAAAATGAAGTGTAAAGTATTGTAGTCTAGCAACTGTATCATCTTACAGTCTGGTTACGTGTTCTGTATTCTAGAGTGTTGGCTCCTTAAGGAACGAGAACATTAAATTTTCCTGCAGAATCACCTCCTAGTTTTCTTTTAGAAAATTCCCTACCTTTGCCGTTAGTAAGGGGACTCGGGCACCCAGGGAGCAGTAGTAGGTCAGGGCCACTCTCATACACCTGCGTAGTTATTAGCCACAGCATCTTCCCTCACAGGTGTGGGATCGGAGTCAGTGTGGTGCCCAGGAAGGGGCCACAGGAAATCCTGTTTGCATCTAGGCTGAACACACCCTGCTTGTTCCTAGCGTGGGGTCCTTCTGGAGCTGGCCCTTCTTCACGGATCTCAGCTCCAGCCTCGAGGTACCCAGGGCCAGGGCTCCCATGCAGCCACGCACTCAGGAAGGATTCACCATCATCACCATCACTGTCACCATTGCCATCATCACCGTCACCATCAATACCATCACCACTGTTGGGGAGGAAAAAAACTTTCCTCTAACCTTTCAGGTTCTTCTTGCTAGTCTAATAATCAACTTGACATGAGACAGATTAACAGGAGAAAACCAGATTTAATTTCATATGTACAGAAGCTCCATAAGAATGTGAGGCCCAAAGACAGTCAGGCAATTGAGGCTTATATGCCTGTCCTTAGCTAAGGGGATGGGGTATGGGTCTGGACTTCAAAGGGAAGGAAGACAATTCATAAGAAGATGAAAAGAGCATTGGTAAACAAATGTTTGCTGGGCCATGCAAAAACAGTGGGACACAGAGAGGAATTTTAACAAACAGGCTTTGCTAGGTTCCTCTCTGTCTACCAAAGCTAATCCGTATTATACTGCAGTTATTTATGGTGGCAGCTCTCTTCCTGGAACAGATCCTTTATCTAAATTCTTTTAGGCAGTTAAGGGGAAGGTAAAAAGGAAAACTTCCTGAGTCTTGTTTCTTAAAAATAATCAGCCTAAAATAATCCTCATGCCAAAGAGACGCATTTTGGGGTGGCAAATTTTGCTCCCCTGCACTATCAACATCATCAGCATCAGCATCACCATCCCAGTCATCATCATCATCACCACCGTCACCATTATCATCATCACCGTATAGCCATCATCACTATCACCATTGCCATCACCATCATCATCATCATCATCTTTGCTTCCTGCAGCCTGCAGGGGCTGCTTCGGGTT